ATATTATACATATAGGTACTACATGTGGACCTCTCTCAGATTTGTTCATTTTCTAATGATATCTTCTGTTCTTTAATTGCCATGTGCATTGCTAACAGCGGAGCTATCTCAGCCGACAGGCTGCTTGTTAAAATTTAAAATGACTATACTAAGGCTTACCTGGTACTTATTCAGGTGTCATAATAAAACAGTGAGCAATGCAAGCTTGCTGACCATTGCAAAGTGGATTACATTCATGCATATATTATCCTTTGACATATTCTGTATTTGATCATTTAGCAATTTTTTTTTGTAGCTTTCTTGTCAGCTGTGGAAATTGACAGGGCAGAATGATCCAAGCGACACCACTCCCCTGAAGTTCTATGTAGCAGATCTCAAACCTATTATTTCACCAGTTAAAAAGAAAAAAACACCAAAAATAAAGACTCCAAAAAAGGTAAGACAAATGAGTGTTGTGCTCATCATCACTGAAATGCAAAAGAAATAATCATAATGTGATAAAAATAATAATATGATTTTCAGATCAAAGACGGTAATGATGAAGATATGAGCACCCAAGAATTAGGCAGGACTGTTCACATATTAGCTCAACTGGCAGATGAAGGATTGATAGATTCATCATCTTCTTCAATGAGTGGTATTTCTTCCATCAGAGAACTCACTCTGCAGTCTTCTATTCAGGTATTTTTTAGAGATATCCCATAATATTTTCTCTTAGGTTGACGTTAGCAGACACAAGTGATTACTGCCAGTGTTTTGTATCAATCCAAGCTGCAGATATTTTAAAATGAATAAATAAAAATGTTTTGTTAGTCTCAAATAAATTGTATATTCATCTGTAAAGTTTGTTGTAAAACACTAAACATATAATCTTTTACCAGCCTTTATACATTTTTGCTTTTATACATTTGAACAAATCTGTTTCAAATTATATGAAGGTGGTCACTATGCACATATATATACGCTTCATATTTGATGCATATAGGAAGTGCATCTCCAATAAAAGAACATATAAAACAAAAATAGCATTTGTTGTACAATAAATTATTAATTACTACATATTCTGAAAATAAAAACTCTCCTGTAAAGTGCATGTGCTTACATATTAAATAATAACTTGTTATCTAAATGGTCAAAATAAATTACATTTTAATAATACAATAAATGCAATATTTGGTTTACATGTATGTACAGTTCTAATGGAAATGGGCTTCTAATAGAGCAAATATGATAACAGATCTATATAAATAATAATATTCACTAAGAATACTTGCTCTATTTTTATATTTTATAGAATGAATACCAACAAATGCTGATTGGTGACTTGGCTAAAATGATCAACAATCCTCATTTTAGTGACGTTATTATTAACATTGCTGATGGTGAATCTCTGTACTGCCATTCATTTATGTTGGCCTCTAGGAGTGACAAGCTAGCAAAGGTAAAGACAAAGACAGTAAATCTCTGTACTACCACAGTCCCTCTATCCTCGGTCTGGAAACGCTCCGCAGTCTATTGTCCCAGGGCTGGTTACGGGTAAATAAACCATTCACACCTTTGACAATGCGCCTCAAAGCTGAGCGTACACTAACTTTAGCACTGTGATCACAAACTTTAAACAGAACAGAACATATTATCGTGATTTGTCAAAATACGAACATCTGAAAGAAAAACTAACAACATCACCAAAAGGTTAATGTACAAATCTATTCACATTGAAAAAAAATATTATGGTTGAACATAGTTTTCATACTATAAAATGGGCCAACCCGCTGACTCGCGTCGAGTAAGTTAGTAAATCAAAAACAAAATGGCGCTCGTAAATAAATTCTTATCGGGCGAAAAAAAAGTCTGCCTACCCAGTTTCTAGCAGTGCTAAAGAATTGATACTGCAGGATGTTATTCTTAGAGACATGATGTCACCAGCATTGTAAACTACATCCCAAATATATGCTTGGACACGAAAATGTTAATGACAATGAATCGGCGAGAGGCCATCTTTATTTTGAATGGAAAAAGTGATGCCTAAATATTATGTGTGTACTGTATATAATATAATAAAACAAGCACAATGAACCGATCCACCAACTACAACTGGGTATCCAATAAACTAAAAAACATTAATCTTTCTAAAACACATGACGAATAGAAGAGGCCAACCGGTCAAGGTTGTTAGAAGTGTTCCAAGTTGCGATCCCTGACTGAGTCCCTCAAATTTAAGTGCGATATTCACG